GAATTTTGCGCCAGACCAGAAATCAATGAATTCCAAGACCCCACATCTCTTTGGGACATACCATTAAACAACTCAATAGCCTCCAACGTCAAACGGAACCTGCACAACCCAAAGATCATGCTGTTTGTTGCAACAACATCTCTCTCAGGCATTTCATCGAACACTCTTCGAGCATCATCTATGCCACCGCATTTAGAGTACATATCAACAAGGGATGTCATCAAAACCGTATCTCTATCAAACCCATGTTTGAGTATCATGCAATGAACTTGCTTTCCTTCCGTTATTCCCGCAACCCTAGCACTGGCCCTAGCAACTGCAGAGAGAAGGAACTCCGTGATTTTGGACCCAACTTTGTGAACTTGGTGGAACAGAATAATTGCTTCACGACTCTTCCCTAGGTTTATAAAAGAAGTGATCTTCTTAGCGTATGTGAAGCTAGTTTGAAGCATTTCCATTCAATGTTGTCTGTAAAATACAGACTTACATTGATACGGTCTGAAACATACTGTGTCCACGAAAAGTACAATTGTCCTAGAAGTCCTTTTCTATTTTTTTATAAAGAATTAAAAAAAAAAAATAAAGGAAGGAATATTTCGGAGTTTTCCTGACCTTTCTGTCTCTGTTTCTCCACTTTTCTACTCTTTCTATTCTGATTTTCTCGGCACCCAAACGACGCTCAGATCCAACCTGTAGTCCTCAGGTATCCGATACATTCATGTAATTCCTATTTTTAGGGGTGGGCAAAACCGGTTTTCGGTTAAAACAGAAACCGGTTTTAAAATAACCGAAAATTTTTTTCTCTAATTTTAAGAACCGAAATCGAATCGAAATTATTAAAACTGATCAATTCGGTTATTAATAAAATCGGTTTGATTTTGGTTTTTGATAAATAAATAATAATCAATTATTTTTCTAATATTATATTATATTTTATCATATTTTGTTATATTTATTCTAATTTTAATTTTTTAGGGACTTATTTTTTATTTTCGATTTTTGAAAAGTTTAATAAAAATCAAACCATTATTTTTCTAATATTATATTATATTTTATCATATTTTGTTATATTTATTCTAATTTCGGTTTCCAAGAAGCTTATTTTTTATTTTTATTTTAAAAAATTTAATCAAAATTGAATCAAAATATATTCGGTTGCTATTAAAACCAAAAAATTAAGAATAAAAAACCGTTGAAATCGAACCGAAAACATTTTTTCGATTCGGTTTTCGGACAACCCATCGGTTCGGTTTAAAATGCCCAGCCCTACCTATTTTTATGTATTTGTCGCCGGCCGACTATGCATTGATGTTTCTGTGATCTTTTGTAGGGAATTGATTGACTCAAGAGTGCTTGTTGAGTAGAATTTTAATCTGATTGGGACACTGGTAAAGCGTCTCTCTGTTTTCAGGTTTTCCATTACTTCAGTTTGGCTATGTCTTGTTGATATGTTGAAAGTTTGTTGTGAATTTGCTAAGTTTAAGCTATTTTAAATTTCTTCATATTCACTTGTTGCAGCTGGACAGGAAAGATTTAGAACATTAACCAGTTCTTATTACAGAGGTGCTCAGGGGATTATAATGGGTATGTGCTGCCTTCAATTGCTATCTTCTGCTGCTGCTGCTACATTGATTGCACTGCTGTTATTTTTCTGATATGTTTAAGCTGAAATTCATTTGATAATTGACATTATTATCCACGGTGTCTTTGCTGCATACCTGTGCTGTTTTCATTTCATTAGTTAACCATGAGGTCTGAGTTCTATAATGTTGAGCTTGGGGCTAGTCTTCCACGTGGAGTAAGAAACTCTTTTGCTGGACTTGGATTTTGAGAGGATTCATATATCATAAACATGGGTCTCAGATGTTAGTGGAGGAGGAAGTCTCCAGTATCTCTGAGACACATCCCAGTGCACTTAAATAATATGTGCTTCTCTGGATTGTCCTACCGCAATTACTGTGACACTAGAGAATTTCTGTGCTGGAGGCCTTAATCTCATGAATCCAACTCCATCGCTAAATTTTCTAACATAGGCATGAATGTGATTGTTTGTCTCAAATTGGGTGCAGTTTGAAGTGTATCCTTTTTTTTTTGTTCATGCCATTAAAAAAAAAATATTATAATAGAACTATAAACTTTCTTATGCTTGACTTGTGTGCTGCCTATCCCTCACTTTAGGAGCTTTAACAAAAATCTTGTTGCCATAGTTTCATGTGCATTGAGGCAATTGCAGATGGAGATTCGAAGTTTTCTGTCTTTTAGTTATCTCAATTTTGGAGCGAATGAAGAAGCTTCTGAACTTTTTGGTCCTTTTTTCTTAATTGCTCTGGGTTTTCCACCAATTTTAATCCTTGTTGGTGCCTCTATTTGAGACGTAGTTTCAATAGTCTCCTTGTATGTGCCCCCAAAGATGTCTGCTTTGGCCATGAATAGACTTGATTTCTGAAAGCTGATTAAATTTGAATACTCTTGCTGTTTTATTATTTGGTTCAAATGTAAATTGGACTTGCTAATGGTGCTTGGAAGCTGTTATGCTGATGCAGTACTTTACCTGTGGTATTGATACAATATATGATGTAACATTGCGGGAAAGCATTTACAAATCTGTCTGATATATGGGCTAAAGAAATTAATCTGTACTTAACAAATCAGGACTGCATCAAGATGCTTGTTGGGAACAAAGTTGATAAGGTATGTGATTCAAGAAGTAGCACATGTTTCCCTTTAGTTTGACCAATATTGTTTCTGTTTGTATCCATGTCCCTTTTTGCTCCAGTTAATTAGTGACTTGGAGTTCATTTGAATCTTTCTCAGGGGCCTCTATTTGATGTTATGGAGAATGATTCTTGAGTGTAATTTTATGCATGGAATTTAACGGTACAACTCTAATTGGTGGTCTTTCACAGGAAAGTGAAAGGGTTTTCTCCAAAATAGAGGCAGACTAATGCACCCTGCAAACGATGGGCATTAGCCAGGGTTTTAGGGACACTTAGATGAACTCTTTTGGAACTCCAAAATGCTTATCTTTTTACCGACTTTGTATTTTGGCCTTTGCTTTGTTCTCAAAAATTGACAATGGAGATATGAGAAAAAATAGTGTTGATCTCATGCTACATGACATCTGCTAGGTCAAGTTGACAGTTTAATTTTATTATCTTGGTAATATATATATGTATATATATGTATATTAGAGTCATGTTTTGTTAACAAGGTTTAATGTCAACAATGAGCCTACTTCACTTTCTAAATCTCATTTAAATTAAGACTAAACAATATTAAATATTTAGGAAAAAACCTGTATTGAATAGGATTTAATAACTAATTTAAACTTTGATCGTGTTGTAATTTAGTTGACAAAAAAGTTTTGAAATTGGCATGAGTAGCCTACGCCCTATAATCGACTAAAGATATTTTATTATGACAAGCTTAACCATAAAGTAAATCTAGGATTCAAATGTAAAAGGTACAAAACATGTAGAGTTAATTTTGTAATTCT